AAAAAAAATATTGGGTATCTTTTATGATTTTTCATATTTTAATTTTTTATTAGTTATCTTAGGTCTCAACACTCTTTGGACCGCCATTATGACTCATAAATTATAAGAAATAATTGGACAAATTAACGACATCACTAACAAATGCTTATGCTCAAAAAACAATAACCAAACACAACACAACTCCCAACTCGTGCACATTTGATGTGTGCATATGTGCACGTGAAAACGTCAATGCTTTTTTTAATAGTTCGCTTCCGGTACCATTTAAATAATGGTTTGCATTTGCCTAATCTGGTGTCCAGTGAAATTACACGGGCCAATTGACAGGGCATTATTATTAATTGTATGGCACGGAACGGATATAATTGTATCACAAAATGATAACATTTAATATATGCACTGTGAAGCAAATCCAATCATTAACCTGGCAAATTGCATTCCTTAATTTGCATTTTCGAAAATGTACATGATACTTAAAATACAATAATCATTATCAGCATATTTACAGTATTTTGGATATTTCAACAAAATCTCAATATTTCAAATCTAAAGAAACAATTTATATTTATTGGAAATGTTTCTTAAAATATTTATAAAAAATTGCTAATATTGAAAATACAGGGTGTCCGCTTAAGGTTGTATACATATAGAAAACTTTTTATTATAATTTTACAAAAAAAGTTACACAATATAAAAAGTTCTGCTTTCTAAAATAATAATAATAATCATAAAATAGCATGTACAGAGTGGTCATAAAGTAGACAAATTTATAATTGACCCAATAGAGAAGTATTGTTAATTTTTATTTTATAGCAAAATAAAATGGGGAAATGTTGCTTTCAATTAAAAGTTATATCAAAGTTTAAATTCATTTCCCCCTATTAAGAGTGTCTTGATATTTTTAAAATGTCTAATAAACAGATTGTTGGGTTAACAACACTTAAACAACCTGTGAATTATTAAAATATAATATTAACTTGTGCCTAGGAATTGACAAAATATGTTTAATTACATTTTTTTACAATTTTACAATTAATAGTTTTAAAATTATTAGCACCCTGTTGTGATTTGGACTAACAATTTACGCACTTATGCAATTTAATTTATTATATTAAATTTTGTCAATAGTTAGTGCCACTTTCTTATTAAGTAAGTTTATCATTAGTAAAAATTATTCACATGTTTCAAAGATTTAACCGGTTTATGTTGCTAATTTGTCATTTTTTTTATATTCATTTGTGTTTCGGTTTTAAATATTTAATATTTTATTTGTACAAAATCACGTCAAAACGTTGTTTTACACTACATTAAATTTATAATAAGACTTTTGGGCCACATACAATGGTGTTTCCAAACACATTATTTGATTTAAAAAATTGTATAATCAATAGCCGTAACCATAACCATAATTATGGAACCTTTCTTTTGTGCCGATTAAACCAATATTTTCGCCCATGGTGCGTATTTACGATAGCAATCATCCCGTCAGCAGACAGTACCAAAACACCCGGCAGATGTTAAATATGGGTTACCCACCCCACTGTATCCTATAAACTAGGCAAAACATTTCGCCTAGGCACTATGATTTAAACGCGTGTTGTTTACTGAAAAATTTGTGCGGTGACTCCACGTCGCGACGCGTCGCGTTTCCAAAATGTATTGTTTATGGTGTAAATGTCGGGTTGTGTGTGGCAAAAAAATGATTACAATTTAACTAAAATTGCATTTAAATGAGTGTCGGTGAGTGTAAATTTGTTTGGCAATCAGTTTTTTAAACAGGTTGTATTTCGAATTTATAAACACAATACATAATCAGTGTTTATTATTAATAAAGTTTTTTATACCTATAGTCAAATGGCTATTTTTAAAGAGGCCATCCTTATTTTAACTTCCCAATAAATAAATATATTTGTATTAAAAATTTCCTGCGACAATTGTAGACCCGGCTTTAAATATTCAGAAGCATTTGAACACCTGTGGGTAGATTTAAAACATTATTGCTGACATTTTAGATAATTGTTCAGTTCTATAAATAATGGTGATAAAATATGTACTCGTATATTTTGAAGATTTAATAACCAGTCATTAATTAAATGTTCATATGTTATATTGAATCTTATACTTATTGCGTATAATGATATGTCTGGTATTATTAAAAGTAAATAAATATGTACTTAGGTAGGCATCTTGTTTTAGAAATTCAATCAACTGATATGACGCGAACTTGAAGTTTTAGCAAATAAAGATTAATTACCTTGTGTTTTTAGTCCTTAAAATTAAGTCCACAAAATTTGAATATATGTGGTAATACGAAACACCGTGTATAATTAAAATATCGAATAAAGTTGACAATAATTTAAATGATTAATTCTAGAAATTCCCTAGGGTGCTTTGCATATAAAACGACAACTGTAGCGAATGCAATATGCAATTTTTCTCGCCACACAACATTATTCAAATGTTCGCTTAAATTAAATTTGAATTTAATTTTCTGTTGCGTGCATAATAAAACCAAAATTGATTTATTTTGGTTTGCACAAGACTTGTATAATTGCGCTAGGTCATTTTTTTAGAGATAACGTTTCCCAGTGGGGCGATATTGCTTTAAATAAATTAATTCGCGTGGTTGTTTACCATCGAACATGTGGCCCGAATTTTATGATCCGTGACACGAGGACAAGAACACGAGGACCACCCCCATTTATATTGCCAACCCACTCCCCATGCGTAATAAAGGGCTTTACGCAATAACGCGTAATTTAATACAATGTCAATGCTTGCACTACTTTTATTGAAATTTCCAACGGTCATATGTGGCTTTTATTGTAAATTTTAGTCCATTACAAAGTTTAAGGATGTTATTAGGATGACCGTTATTTGGACATATATACAAAGTATTATACATACAGAGTGTATTTTGCTAAAAAAGTTATCTATAAACAATGTTTGTTAAATTTGTTCGTTTTTAGGATTTACGGTAAAATTAACGGATTTTACTATTTTTAAATAGTATTTTAGTTGAACATGTAGTTTTCTTACGATTACAAAGGCGATAAAACTTTAAATTTTAAATTAAACTTCAAGTAAAAACTTGTTCAAAATTGAACCTAATATACCCTTTCTTTTAACTAATATGCTTGCAAAAATATTATAATATGAGAGTAGCTACTGGCCATTACTTAACAATATTTTTTAAAAATTCAACGAAATATTTAAGTGGATAAAGATTATCCTAAATAGTTTTTATTCACCTTTAAAATTTTAAACTTGTAAACTAAAACTTATCATAACTTATTTTTTCAAGAAAAGAGTTACTTATATGAAATTCTGTTAAATACTTTAGGCGTCACAAATATTTTTATATATTTAAGAAAAATCAACACGTATTTATCAGATTTTGTTTTATAATTTTATGTATATTACTAACTTAAAGTTTCTCCAAGAATAAAAAAACCACCCTATATGTATTATTAATCACAAAATAAAGATTACGTATTTCGTACATGTATAAAAACATGACGAAATCAATTTACGTCATAAGGCTGGGAAGTGAGTCTTTTTGTGCTGAGCACAAAAAGACACTTCTCAGCAGCATGGCACATTTTATCTTTAAGGTATTTATAATTTTATTTGTTAAACGATACATAAAATATTTAAATATAATAATAATAATTATTAAAAGTAGAAAGTGAGGTTAAATAGATCTGACAGTAGTCGAGTTTTTTTAGACTAGAAGGTAAAAAAACTTTACCCTTTTGGTCTAAATTATTTTTACAGCATAGGCGATGACCAATCATTTGTGACAATTACTTAAGTTTAAAATATAGAAAGCTTAAAGATAAAAGTTATTATTGCAAAAATATTTGAAAACAAACTAATGCATGTGAATTAGAAAAGCACAATGTAAAAACCAGGGTTGGAAAAAGTCATGACTTTAATATAAAAAAGTAGGTCAGAATTTTTAAATAATTTACTTTTTCTATAATAATATTGTATTATTTGATTAAAATATACAGGTAAAAATGATTTAAATAAACACTAAAAATAATATTCAATTTTTTTATTTTCTTTAAGAAACTTTTTTGACCCATTACTATTCATAAGAAAAAATTTAACCTACACCTCGTCAAAGTTTTTTGTTTTGAGTGCGTTCCACTAACTTCAAATACCGACAGACAGCTGTTTCGACCTATATTGGGTCTCATCATTGTCAGACAACTTTGTGTAGTGAAACACACCCAAAACAAAGGACTCCCTGAGCTTATATGCTGGGTTGGTAAGCCAACAGAGGCGAGATGTAAGAACATCAGGTAATCCACACCGTCTAACGACGTGGCCTTTGCCATAATAATAATAATAATTTGATCATAATTATTTTAGTTTTAACTACAAAATTTTAATCCTCCACCAGAAAATACCGAATTCCTTGGGACATTCTGATTTTTTTTATTTATCAATCATTTAATTTTACAAAACTATTCAAGTTGCAGTTTTTGGTAACCCATGTATTTTCATTGTTCTTTTTGCGTTTTATTTAATTTAATTCACAAATTAAATGAACCTGTAAAAAACTTTTTATATTAATTTTCTAGTCAATTTCTGTATGAATTTAAAAGCACATGTCTAACTTGAAAATAAAAGATTTCGCTTTTGGGATCTTTGGTTTAGGGGTCTTTAAAAGGATTATAAATTAAAAAAAATATTAATGGTGCAGTTAATTTTTTCAAACTGCGTAGTTTAAAAAAAGTGATTTTGTAAATTTAGTATGGTTTTTTAAATATGTATTTATTATTATTATATTTTCGGATTACAACATGTAGAATAAAATTAATCTTAATTTTAGTTGGTATAATCAATCTTTAAAACTATTAGTTAGTCTGCCTCATTTTTCAAATTAGTTGGTTAAAAATAAATTTAATTAAATTCTAAATATAAAGCTTAAAAATAATATTTCGTATACGAAGGCAATTTAATAATTAACGAATTGTAATTGTTTTTAGCCCAAACCCAAGTGATATTAACAGTCCAACAAAGAACATTTGCAAGGCTCTCCCAAGGTTCTCCAAGTATGCATAACCGCCAATCAATCACCAACCCTCAACCTGTTGATGTAAGTTTTTTTAATTCGCATATTTTTTTCTGAGAATGCATTAATAATGATTATTTTTAGAATGAAAAACAATCGCAATTGCAACGAGACAAAGAGAACTACTACAGGCTTATGATAGAAAAGGAAAAGAACTACGTTGATACTTTAAGGAGCAAAATAGCGGTCTCACCGGACGAGAAAAAAATCGCCGAACTTGCAAAGACTGAAAAGAACATCGAAACTTTGGAAGCGTGCCTTTATAAAAGTCTCAATGAGGTAAATACCAACAAAATGGTTGTAGCATATTGCGGAAATATTGACATAGATGGTGTTACTTTGTGGTTTATAAATATTTGGAATATGCAATGTCTTATGTTGCTCAACATTTAAAATTCCCAGACAGTACATTTCTGTGTTTTGTCAGCATCATTGGTGTGACCCTATTATTTAAAATATTGAAAACAAATCAATTTGTTGAGTTTCAAATATTCAATACCCACATTAGGTACCTACAGAATTTCGAATTATCAAAACATGAACAATTAAACCTTTAAAGGGGTTAATAGAAGTTGTAAATATAATATGATGTGCAGTGCTTTAGAATGCCTGTATAGTGAATGTGCTGGAAATTTTTAAATGATGATGGAATGGCTTTTTACGTTTAGGATATTTTGGTTAAATGTCTGAGCATCAAAACCTTTGTTGTGTTAATTATACCGGCATGATTTATGATTATTCTGCAAATAGTTAAAAATAAAGACGATAATTAAGATGAATATTGGTATTTTGATAATCGATGCTCAGAAAAGATGTACATTTTACCATCGGTGATTGTTGTTACCCTAATTCGTGGTGGGACACTGTCCCGGTTGTAACTTTAACAAAAAAGTAACCCACTTAAAATCAACTCACCATGGAAACTGGACAGTCACCTACACCACAGATAACTTAATAGAATAGAATGGTCTTTATTTCATTTTCATTTATGTCAAAGCAATCTTAATAGGTATAAAAGTTTACATACTTTGGACACTAAACAAAAACTTTAAATTCTAGACGACTATCAATTTAGCGAAACTTTACAAGACTAATAATTATTTTGTTGGAAATAAAAGGGTGTTTTGCGCTAAATTTGCTTTAAATTAATGAAACAAAATACACTGGCGAAAGAAATTAACGCATCACCATAAATTTATCATTATTTTGTTGTTAAATATTTTCCGAACCAATTATTTGATTTTAATGTTCTTTTTTTTGGATTGTGTAAAAACTCTTAGAGAATGTTGTTATGACTTTAGTTATTTTATAAATCTTTGTGTCTTTTATATACGGGGTGTTAAACTGATACTTGATTTTTTCAAAAATTTTGAAACACCCTGTGGATAAAAGTGGCAGTAATAACAAATCCTAAAAAGTATATAACTATAGCCTTATCTATTCTTATCATTCTCTTCTTTTATTCAACTTTTTATCTCTTTGATTAAAAAAGATACAAAATTTAATAAAACTGCATGTTTTATTTACCTTTTTATACACATTAAAGAAAATAGGCTGTTGCGTCCTGTCAAAATTTTGACATTTCAAACAAAATGTTATATTTTTTATATTTTAAAATGAATGTCAGAATTGCTTCATCAGAATGTCAGAAGTGCTTCATCAGAATCGCATCTTAAGTTTTGAAGATTCTGTGCGTGCGGTAACTCTTCCGGAAGATGGTAGAAGTCAGCGTTATATCGCTCAACGTCTTGGTGTCCATCAATCGACTATATCTCGAATCCTGCGGCAGACCCTCAGTTACACGCAGAGCATCGCAGAGCCAGATTAACATTTGCTCAAGAACACGTTAACTGGTTAGAGGTTGATTGGGCCAACGCGTTGCAACGTTATGTTAAGAATCCAGATTTTGTCTCCATAGCAGTGATAAACGGATGAGTTTGTATAGACGGCCATGTGAACGTTATGGTCAATGTAACATTGTTTAAGTAGTCATGTTTGGTGGAGGCTCTAGTATCGTGTGGGGAGGCATCACTGCAGAGGCTCACACGGAGTTGATGGTAATCCCAGGAAGTATCACGGCAGCTTCTTCCATTAAAAAAATTGTAGAACCAATCTAAATACCTTTTGCACCTTTTGTCGGTGAGAATTTTATTTGTATGCATTATAATATTATACCGCATACAGCCAGGTTTGTACAACAATATCTTGCCGAGTTTAATATTCCCACAATGCGTTGGCCAGCCAGAAGTCCGGATCTTAATCCAATAAAAAATATCTGGGATATTATGGGCAAATGGTTAAGAGAACTTTCTCGTCAACCCAATAATCAACAAGAACTGAAAGAAAGGCTACAACAAATTTGGGAAAATATTGACCAAGATGAAATAGGCTATAATTCGTGCAATAGGAGGAAACATTAAACAATATTTACTGTGTTGCGTTAATACAATAGATAGGTAATTTTGCTAATTATATTAATTGTTAAATTTGTTAAACCTTAAGTTAAATAATATTCATATTTTGTATGAAATGCCATAATTTTGCTAAGACGCAATAGCCTGTTTTCTTTAATGTGTTTAAAAAGGTAAATAAAACATGCAGTGTTATTTAAATGTTTATCTCCTTTAATCAAAGAGATAAAAAGGTGAGTCAAAAAAGAGAATGGTAAGGATAGATAAGGCTATGGTTTAATCCATTTTAGGATTTGCTACTACTGCTACTTTTATCCACAGGGTGTTTCAAAAATTTTGAAAAAATCAAGGATCAGTATAACACCCCGTATATAAAAGAAACAAAGATTTATAAAAGAACTAAAGTCATAGTAAACTTCTCTAAAAGTCGTTTTACAATCCAAAAAAAGACCATCATAATCGAATGATTTGTTCGGAAAATATTTAACAACAAAATAATGATAAATTTATGGTGATGCGTTAATTTCTTTCGCCAGTGTAAAAATATTTTTTTTTTTAATTTTTGCAATTAATAATTCTGCAGCAGACAATTACAGAACAAACTTGTAAGTACATGTAAAGTTAGCGGAACACCCTTGTTCCTAATGTACAGAAATAGCAAAATAATTATTAACGCAACAAATTAGTCACAAATTCTATAATATGTTATAGATAGGACGTTTTTTTAAAATTATTTCAATGAAATCAAAATGTCCCAAATTTTGAGAGGTTTATCTGAAATTTTAATTTTAGTGATATAATTAAAAAAACGGTGCTTTCTTTTACAAAATAGCATTTATATATTATTGAGTTAAAAAAAATAATGACTTGCTTCCATATTTAAATAGCTTATTGAAAAAGCTTTCTTTAGCAGAATTTGAAGTTTTGTTTGGCAGGAGAGTTTTAAAACAACCTGCAATATCCATATCTATTAAATTTGCTTCTAAATCTTCCTTCGTTTTCCCCCGGTCTAGTCTCTTACGGTATCTGTGGGCCTTACACACGACTAACATCGCTTGTACTATCTCTCTCTTTACAGCAATCGATATCCTCCCCCTCTCCCTCCCACTCTCCCATAAAGTATGGAAATATCCCCACAACCCCAAATGGAAACTCGGGAGAACCGCCGCCGCTGCCAAAACGGAACCTTAACATGAACAAGAAAAAGAAGGGGCACCACTTTAATACGATTCCGTCGGTGTCGCAGTGCCGTTCTTCTCAAAGGGAGGTCACGTCTACTCCCACCTCTCCGATAGACCTAAACATGACATTCATGCAAAACGAAATAAATGCGAATCGCACCCCGACGTTCGGAAGGAGAAGTATGCCTTATAGTAGATCGTCTGAACCTCCCAGAGAACAACCTCCTCCTCTTCCTCCCCGTTCCACCAATCCCTCCTCGCCCCTTGACCCGGACGCGGTTAATTCCATTAACAAACAAATGTCCTATCCATTGGTGGCATTCACTTCGGTTCTTAACCAACATGTAAGTAAGACACAACAAATCTTTTACTTTTTTGAAAAAGTTTTTTCGATTATTCCAGTTTTACATCATACAACAATACAAAGAACATAACACTGTATATGTTACTCTTAGATATCCTTGTACTATCATTTTTTATCCTTTGTCTAGTTGTATGTTCTAAAACTTTTCAATTGCACTGTGTGGGTTTCACTTTACCATATTTTATTGAACAAAAATCCAAAGATTTAAATTCGTATCGACAAAAAATCATCTGTAAATACATTCGTTATGATTTTACTAATGTGTGACTAAAATTTGCAATTAAAATAACCATTCATTCATCTTTACAACTACAATAGATTTTTACATCTATTTATACTAGACATTTCATTAGCTTAGCGCTTATGTTTTTTATTTTTCTGCAATAAATGTTTGGTTTTTTGAGGCTGTATTTTGGCTTTGACTATTGGTTAAATGTAAATGCGCATTATTTCATAATAATTAAAAATAAATAAAACACAGGGTGACCTTTTTGGCTGTATTGGACCAAAAAGCATGAATTATTTTATTAAAAAAATAATTTAATTTAAAAATTTCATCTCATTTCTGTGGGTAAAAGGCATAAGGGGATAAGTCAAAAAAAGCAATTTTTCAATAGAGCCTTTAACGTGTTCGCATTAATTCAGGAAATATATTTATGTTTAGCGGGTATACGCTTTTGTTAGCATATGTCATGGGCTAATAAAAGGGTATACCCGCTAACCATAAATATGTTTCCTGAATTAATGCGAATACGTTTAAGGCTCTACTGAAAAATTGCTTCTTTTGACTTATCCCCTTATGCCTTTTACCCACAGATTTTATATATATATTTTGTATAATTTTATTTTAATATTTTTTTTAAAAAGCAACATTGCCTGATAATATAGTTATTTATGTATCAAGGCAGTAAAGTCGTATTTTTTACCATGAGTGATAAAAAATGACTTTAATGCCAAGGTGTATATTAAATTTTATCGGAAATCACATTTAATAATACTAATAATTAATTTTAATGATTAAATCAAATGTCATTTGATGATCAAATCAAATGTCATTTGAATGTAGGAAGTGTCTACATATACTGTTTGTTGCGACGGTTATTATATATTTGCCCGCCGCGGTGATTTTTTTAATGTAATTAATAAAATTAACTTATTATTTTTATTAAACAACATTTTATGAAAGGGTCCAATCGACCTCCACGACGGTGCTTTTTTTAAATATTATTTAGTTGCCGCTGGGGAGCAGTAGACACATCTTAAAATGTATAATGGGTTGCATACAATACTCGTATTAAATCGGCAGTTCTACTTTACTGCCGATTGTTGACTACTTTACTGCCGATTTCGGATAAAAGTTATTAAAATTATCATATTAATACTAATTTTGTATATTATAATTTAAAATAGTATTTGGCGTATTTATGTAGGTATCTATTTTTTACTTAAGCACCTATTTATTTAAACATAAAATTACGATATCTCATGAATTATGATTTATGATTTTGTAATTAATTTAATCAATATAACATTTTTTACAAACATCTCTTGGTCATCATTATATGAATTCAAATAAAATAAAATCAATATTTTTCATATTATTACTTCCCTTCAAACTAAATATTTTTTGTAATGGAAAAGAATTGTCATTAATTCTTCTCCGTGATCAGTCTTGGAAGGAAAAAATACAAATATGAACGTTACTTTAAATATTTCCAACTCAAAATCCGACATAACCAAGGTAGTATCTTCACATTTACAAATTATTTCAATTTTTTTTACAGCACAGATTCCAAGAAAATGATTTTTAAAGTTACATTTGTTTTCATACGCCATTTTTTTATTTGTTGTCATAACACAGGTTTTTTTTAACTGCAATGCAATAACTAAAACTGCTTATAGAAAAAATATTTTTTATACTTAAAAGAGCCGTGGTATGGCGTTAGTGCACCATTTTCGGGACACCCTTTAGTTTATAACTTTAAAATATTTAAAATTAAAACGTACTTTTGAAAAATTCACTTTCTGTGTTGCCTTTTCCATAGTGTGAAATCTAAAAGAATTATTTTATTTCAACTTTTAGGAACATAATAGAACAACATTTGAACTAAATTTAAAATTTTATTAAAAATTTAGCTGTTGAGAGCTGGTTTTTAGAGATTAGAAAAAAGTATTATCGCGGTAGGCAGTATAACTCATGATGGCTTTATCAGAAACCAAAAAAAAGCTTAACACCGATTGACCTTGGAAAAATATTTTTGACCAATTAATAAAAAAATGATTTTTAAATTTTAGTAACCCATGTAACCCCTTAAAAAAGGTCATAACAATTTTTTTTATCCCTAAAATAATTAGGAAAAAATCCGAACACCGTATCCAGATACTAAACTGGCAATGTTTTTTTCTTTGTTCACTTTATTTCTCTTAATTCACTTAAGTTTTATGTGCTTATTTTTGTATCTTTGTACACCTTGTGCTAACATGTGTGCGTGCGCGTGCTGTTGCAGTCCCCGAACGGTCCGACGCATCATCGCACCAAATCGAGTCCCGAATCGCTGTCCGACCTCGGCGGAGGCGCCACCTCCGGCCGCTTGACAACCTCCGAGAGCATGAACGATCTGAGCCGACAGGACGGCAACTGGGAGCGGGCGCCGGACACGCCGCCCGGCACTCCTCCGCCCCCCTATCCGAGCCCGCCGACCCTCAGGAAGGACCGCAGCCAGGACGACGGATTTATTCTTGCAGAGGTGGGATCCGGGGGTTTAAAAGTTTTTATTGTTACCTTGTTGTGCCTAAAGTTCTGATATTTATTAGAATTTGTAGGTACTAAAACCTATAAATTGTGCTGATTATATTGCCTTGAATCAACACAAATACGCCTATAATTACGACTAGAGATGCGACTTGAAAAAAAACGGTCTGTTTTTTTTTGTTTTTTTTTTTCATTGTTTTTTTTCAAATGGTTTTTTTTCACATTTTAGGTTTTTTTTCAAGATTAGTCCCATTTACCTAATTTTTTATGTTTCCATTGACTAAAATTAGCCACTAAATCACAATTAGTAAATGTAAATACAGTCTCGCGCTATGCACGCGCCACCACCACCGAATAGACCAATAAGGGCCGCGCTTGTTTTGATTTGGTCCTAAAAAAAGTAACTATATATAATATTTTTGATTCAGCGCGTGATTTCTCAAAAAGCTACCAAAAGCACTTTTTTCATGATTTTTCAAATTTATGTAGAGTATGGAAATTTTTTTTTCCAAAAAAACATTAGCAAATTCTTGTAGAACATTTATTCATTGGTGGTCAGAACATTCCGTGGACCAAAAAAACCGTTTTTTTACATCTCTAATTACGACTATGATTAAACGGATACAAAGGAAACCATAGTACGACTTATAAATATGATAATAATAATATATTTATTTAGCCTCTGCCATAAACGACATCTACAAATTATTAAATACATACGTTCATTAATTACAAAAAAAAATTAGTATACATACATATTTCACACATTTTTAATCACATAAAATATACATATATGTATATATACAATTGTCGTGGTTATCTGTAAAATTTATATATTGTATAAACCGTTATCCGTAAACTTAAAAGGAAATGTAATAGTTTTTTTCATAAATTCTATCAAAAATGCTTTATTAGCAAAATACAAAAAAGGGCAGTCTATGCCAAATTTACGTATCAAATAAGTTTGCATATGCGATTTTGCTAAAACTGGAATGTATTAAAGGTACTTTTTTAGATTTGTTTTTTTTTTGGCCGATAGTTTTTGTGATGTAGAATTTTCAAAAATTTATTTATTTATTTTATTCTTCGTTTTTAATGTATTGTTTAATTTTCTAGTACCTGGACAACTGATCAACCGTGTCTTTAGAGTTTGCCGTGGGGATGTGAAAAAACCGCGACCTAAAATTTTAAACATTTTTCGTGAACTTTTTCTACGCACTGTTTTACATTTAACATTGTTTATTGTTAATTCTACGGGGGTTTAAGGGTGTTTTTGTTAATAATAATAAAAATTATACGATGTTTCAGAAAATTTTAACGATTTGGTTGCATTTCACGTTCTTAAGTTTTTATTTTTATCTAATTCACTTCACGTTACAATTGTAATGACTTATCTGATATAGCATCTATCATATTTATTGTTTCCCACTAAAGAGTCTAAGAGGCTTTAAACTCATGTCACTTGTTTTGATGACTAAACTCATGGCCAACTGATATATATATATATCATTGTTATACAGGGTGAGTCATTTAACTTGAAATATCTTAGTATGCATTTTACGAAAAAATGTTAACACCCTATTTTTTATTGCAGATTCGGATCATTCGACTAAAAATAGGTAGATTTTGTCTGAAACATTTTTTCATATTTGTAATAGATGGCGCTGTAATTTTTCTGCTATATACAAAAATCTGGATACTTGTTTTAATATTGTTGTTTGCATTAATCAACATGCAGAAAATTAAAAAAATTATTTGGTCTCAAAACCAGCCCAATTCTGCACTTCCAAAAAAAGACACTTCCCTGGTGTTTATATACTTTTTGGACAATAATTTTTGAGATGGCAAATTTTTAAAAAATTTACGATTTTTTTTTCAATCGTCCATAACTGGATCCAGTTCTCTTCTTTGCACTTGTACCCTTTTGCTTCTTACCCCTTTAATTATATTAATAATTTTAAGTTACGACGGCCTGTATTAAGCCCGTATTACAGTCTACAATTTTACTTGCTGCAATCTTTCTTGCAGTATTTATCTTGCATGCAAGTTTTATTGCTGACTGTAATACACTTTGCAATTCCAATTCAAACGCATGATACCAACCTATGAAAATATAAAAATTTATAAAATATTATAGAGTACAAATAAAATTAAACTTAGCTCCTGCCACATGACATTATAATATATATATTTACATTCCCTAGAGACGCTGGTTTGTTTTTAAAGTTATTTGTGTGTTGTTTCTTTCTATTCTAAATTCTATTACATAATTTAAAAATAATATAACATATATGTTATATTATTTTTAAATTATGTAATAGAATTTAGAATACAAAGAAACAACACACAAATGACTTTAAAAACAAACCAGCGTATCTAGGGAATGTAAAGTGTGGATTGGTATGAAAAAAGTTACCATTTTTTTCCCCAGGCTTGCATGACCCCTACAAGAAAAATCGAGCAGGACCGATATCTTGAAACGGCAATAGACTTGCACGTAACGTCTTCGTGCAAGAGTATTGCGTATTGCACGTGCACAGTGTGCAAAATTGGTAACTTTTTTCATACCAATCCACACTTTAAATTCCTTAAAGACGCTGGTTTGTTTTTTAAAATCATTTGTGTGTTGTACATAATATATATTATAATGTCGTGTGACAGGCTAAGTCTAATTATAATTGTGCTTGATAATATTTTATATTTTTTTATATTTTTCTTTGGTTGGTATCATGCAAGTTGGAATTGGAATTGCAAAGTGTATTACAGTCAGCAATAAAACTTGCATGCAAGAAAAATTGTTGCAAGAAAGATTGCCGACTAATACAGGCTTATATGTAGTATATTTAAAATACAAAAAATCCTATAAAATACTATAAAAAATGTTTCCGGAACTCATGGCACAACTAGGTACAATGTTTTTGTTTTAATTAAACAGCAATATTTTACTTTATTACATTGTTTAACGATTAAGATTTTGATTGCTGAATGATGTGAAGCACACAACTACAATTTTCAAATACTTGGGGGTTAATACATTTTCCATTATTTATATTAATCTGTTTTGTTGTGTCTAGGCTTATGCTTGCATAGTTTTTCGTTTATCATTTTAACATGTTCTACATTTATAAATTTTTAAATTCATGATTTGTATTTTCAATGGCTAATATGCTTAATTTTTTTCCACTCTCCAGAGCCATGTTGACGGTTCCCCGGATGTTCACGGAATTTTCCGAACGCCGTCAAATAGCAAATATTTTTCCGAAAAACCTCGAGCTGCCATTTCAAAACACGCTCAGCCACCAATCATTAGCATGGAAGATGATGAAATTTCTGACTTAGAACTGGTAAAGTTACTTTTTTTAAGTTAAAGTAAAATCTTTAATACACTTTTAATTTTTTAGAATCAAGTCGAGGACCATGGTCATTTCAAGACGCTGACGCTGCTTTGGCAACACCTACCCCATCTGGCGGTCTTCATGAACTACGTCCTTTCCAATTCCGATCCCAACAGTCTTCTGTTCTACTTACTAACGGATCTGTACAAAGAGGGAAACGCAAAGGAAATGCGCAAATGGGCATTTGAAATACATTCGTGTTTTCTTGTACCCGGTGCTGTAAGTATAATTTTTTATATTAAAATTTAATTTAAAATTTGCGTTATTACTTAATATATATTTTATATATGCACAATTGCCCCTTTAGTTTACAATTTATTTTATATATACGTAATTAATACATAATATTGATAATATAAACTATTATCAAACAATTTGCAATATACCTAGATAAATTAAAGTTTTAATTGTTATTTAAATCACTTTGATTAATTATTGTGTTTAGTTATGTTTGGAATTTTTGTATCACAGGAAAAGCATGAGCTGATAAAATTTGTCATCATTTGTGGCGAACATTTCGGATAAATGTCTTTTACATTGTATTTCTACGCCAATTCGTTAGTGTTAGTGGCTTACATGTTTTAAGTTGTAATAAAGACTAAGTTATATTTTGTATCTAATTTTACAGGTAATAATATTTTGTAAGAATGTTTCCATAAAATAATTGAAAATTTAATATTGAACCTTTTAGTTTTGTTATATTTTTAGAAGGGTTTGTAAATTTCATGATATTTATTAAAAATATCAAAATATCGGATATTTACGATATACCTATAACGGATATATTGATATCAGATTTTTTAATTTTTGTCAAAAATAATCAAAATTAATACGTAGAAGTTTTTTTAATTTTTTGATAAAAACAATTGAAAATACAAAATTATAATTCTAAGAAACAAAATAACAACTCCTAAACCTAATGGGGTAGTTAAATTTTTTCTGACCTATACTTTTTATGGTTTTATTCAAGGGGTTTTGTAATATTAAACATTTCTGTGAAATCAGAATTTCAATTGAGTTTACCGTTTTCAAAATATTTACAAAAAATATAAATTTTTATGACGTCACAAACCTCGCCATGTGACCAACATTCTAAGATTTCTATTGGTTGAAAATTACCCTGTTGTCAAGTTGTCTTGTTAAAGATTTCATTCGGTTATGTCAGAAAATACCCGAAGAGGTTATGTACAAATACTGTCACTGTCAGTTGAGTGAAAGATGGTCACCAAATTCATTAAGTACCTATCTTCCTTATTACAAGGTATCATATTACTGTTTGATATTTTAGAGTCCAAGATATATCTAAAAGAATATAAAGAACTAGGCATTATACTAATGAAATGCATTTACGACAAAATATGATTATAATTATAGATACTTACTTTATTTGTTTAAAAGCTCCAATTTTCAATGTAACCAACCATTCCACAAGATTCCTCTGCTTTGGAGTCCGTTATTAATAAATCACTTATCTAATATCAATTTCAAATAATACAGGGTGTTTCTTTTAACTTGAGACAGCTCAATATCTCGAGAAATACGCATTTCACGGAAAAATGTCTTAAATAAAAGGTTAATGTGACTAAAGGGGACATTATTTGGTGCTACCGCTAGCCACCCCTTACCCCTCCTTAAGGGTGAAACGGGGGGTAACTTT